CAAGCTATAACTTTCTTTTTGTAGCTGCTTGTGGGGTCTCGCTTTAAGGCTTCGTAGGTATTGTTGTCACTGAGGAGAGTAGTGATCTTTGTGTGGTAATCCGTTGTGTTTAGGACCACGGTGCACCTTCCCTTATCAGCTGGTAATATAGTGATGTTGTGGTCTTTGCTCAGGGATTCATCTGCATCTAAAGGACAAAGGTCACTCTTTCGAGGATGCCAATGTTCACATTTTGGACAGAGAGGACAGATGGTTTGAAAGAGGAGTGAAAGAAGCCATTTACGTCCACTGTGAGCGACCATCTTTGAACAGAGGCGGTGGTTTACGACACCAGCTGTCTGCCATCTACAATCCAGTTTTGAGATCCCTTCCCAGACGCCTTAACGACCACTCACACCCTGGGCCATCTGACCTCAGGAAATCACATGATAGGGTGGGGCCAGATTTCACAATGAGCTCACCCGAAACCCTGGCTGATTGTGACCCACACCCGCTTTCACACCTTGGCTCATGTGATTAGGTAGAGGATCATCAGGGGGTCCTTTGTCCCTCTTTGGGGGGAAACTCCCACTGGGTTTATATCTGGGACTCTCCACCATTTGACCCTTAGAACTGAAGAAGCTTCTCAGATGAGAGGTGAAACGTCTTCAAGCAAGAAGTCCAGACGCTTTTCTTTCCAAGCTCCTTACACAATTTTGCACCGGAGGTTTTCGTAAAGCTTATATTTTGGTATTTCCGTTGACCCGTACAATAGATTTGCATGTTAGCTAAATATTTACTTTCCTGTAACATTTAGATTTAACATTTAACGTTTAAATTTAACATTTAGATTTAAATATAATATTTAAATTTAACAGTTAGATTTAAATACATTTAGATTTAACATTTAGATTTAAATATAATATTTAGATTTAACATTTAGATTTAAATTTAATATTTAGATTTAACATTTAGATTTAAATATAATATTTAGATTTAACATTTAGATTTAACATTTAAAATTGTGTTTTAAATATGAAAAGTTACAAATATTTTACTAAATGTTGTAAAAAAAATGACTCGAAAAAACATGTTTTTGTAAGGTTTTGAGCTAAATGTGGAAAAATGTTGATGTTAATTTCAGCATGTTTCACTTTACAAACGGTGCCCCATACTCCTCTGGTGACCTCTAATCTAATTCACTGTGTTTAGCCTCTATAGACACTTGAGCACTTTCAAACATCACGTGAACGCATCGATTGGATTGGAAGCACTTGTGAGACTGAGACCGGTCCGTGTGGGTCAATGATCTCTAGAGGTGTGATGCTGGGGAGGCGTGGCTCCCCCAGCTGCGTGTTATTGGTGGCCGAACTGTAAACGGCCCAGAGTGGTACCTCAGAGAGCGGCGCGCAGGACTCACTGCAGCCAAGTCCCGCTGATGCGCGATGCCTCGTTTTACTGTACACATTCGAGATGAGTGGCTGTCAGTGCCCTGCCGGGACACTTCCAAAACCATCCAGTGGCTCGGACAGGAAGCGCTTAAACGTTACATAAAGAACAAACCGGACAACGGCGGCATCACGGCTGTGAAAGACATACGTTTTGTTGTGCGCAGGTGCCAGGGTTTGGGTCTGCTGGACGCGGATGACACCATCGAAGATGTACTGGAGGATAACGACTTTGTCGAGCTTGGTAATAACTTTCTACACGAAGAATGCATATATTAAAAATGTGTGGTGCAACACATTTAAAAGACGTTGACGATGGTTTACCTTTAACTCTGCTTCAGTGATGCGTAATTGTGTATAATAAGTAATTTACTTTAAATATAACTACTGTGTGAACCAAGGGGGGAATGCACACATTGTGATTTATTTTCCTGTGCATTTCAGCTATTGAAGGAGATACCATGTCTCCTGACTTTATTCCGTGTGAACCGGGAGTTTCTCATCTGTATCCTTAAACTTGTTGGATATTTGTGCCATAGCAGCTGTAGTAGGTGCTGTAGTGTGCACTAAAAACGATTCAATCTTTTTTTAATGCCATTTTTTCTTCACATACTGTTTTAATTTCGGGTTAAAATTGTCCTTGTGGGAAATTATAATTAATCTGAGAGTGACACTACAGTTTGCCAAATGTTATCCTTAATTAAGTTTGTCAACTAGCACAGCAGCATACAAAGAGCCTGAAGAGGTAAGTGTATTTTCCGATAAAATTGAAAACATATTCATATCATATTAACTAACTCCGTGAAACGTGAAACTCTCTGTCCAGTATATTTCTTTGGATGGCAACAGCCTGACGTCAACAGATCTCATCAACTTAGGCCGAGGACTCTACAAGATAAAGGTAATGATCAACAAACCTCTTTTGTTGTCCGTAACTGCTCCGTTGTAATCTTTTACTCGATCCAATGTCTCCCTTTATCATTGTTTTTTAGCTGACTCCTGAGGCAGAAAGAAAGGTTGTGCAATCCAGAGAGCTTTTGGACACCATTGTCAAAGAAAACAAAGGTTAAAATACAGTGATTCAGTGCAAATGAGCTTAATTTAAACTGGCTAAATTACAGTATCTGGAAAAATAGGAGACTTTGTGTGTTCAGTTCCCTATGTGTGTTCTCCCTGCAGTTGTCTATGGGATCACAACGGGTTTTGGCAAATTTGCCCGAACTGTCATTCCTGTCAGCAAACTCAAGTAGAGTTTTTAAGTTGTCCTTAAATACATTTTACGATCTATTTCTGGTCTTTGTAATCACCCACACAGAGCCCTTTTTGTTTGTTGACTGATGCCATGCACTTTTCGTTCCACAGGGAGCTCCAGGAAAACTTGGTGCGCTCACACTCAGCAGGTGATGACACTCTTTGTGACGCATATATGTTGATTTTAATGTTTTCAGGCCCTCTGTACGTCAATCATCTTAATCAGAGTTATGCTGTGACGCATAGGTGTGGGGAACCCGTTAAGCCCAGAGAGGACCCGCATGTTGCTCGCTTTGAGGATCAATGTTTTGGCCAAAGGGCACAGTGGTGTTTCTCTTGAAACCCTCCAGGCCATGATCCAGGCCTTTAACGGTAAGCTTCAAACCAGTTAGCTGATGTGAGATATCAGCTTCAGTAAACTGTGGATAACTTTATTTAAGGACAGGGGTAGGACAGCTGTCATAGGACTTACTTTTGTCTCTATAACTTTGTCCCCTCAGCCTCCTGCCTCTCCTTTGTCCCTGAAAAGGGAACAGTAGGTGCTAGTGGTGACCTGGCACCCCTCTCTCACCTGGCCCTCGGACTCATGGGAGAGGGAAAAATGTGGTCTCCCACAAGCGGATGGGCTGATGCCAAATACGTAAGCTCAGAGTGACTTTTCTGGAGTTGTAAAACAAGAGGGCAACTACTATCGTAGGAAAACGTGTCTCTTGTTTACAAGAGTGAAAGGTTTCAGGGTGCAAATGGAAACATTGTTTGCTTTCTGATGACCCTGGACTTTTTACATGTTTTTCATCTTTCATTCCTGACCAGGTCCTGGAGGCACATGGACTCAAGCCAATATCACTAAAACCTAAAGAGGTAATGTTCAAAAAAAAGAAAAGCTCATCTATTTGATTTGTCTGCACTGTTGTGATTTGACCCAGAGTCCACTGATAACAGATTTTGAAGTATAAACTGCATTTGCATCATAAATATACAATAAAATACATATTAGGCCAAATATATGGAATTAAAATAATTTTAGCAAAATAAAAGGTAATATGAGGGTTAACTTGTAAAAATAATGACGCTGTAAAAAAATCCTTAAAAAAATTATCTTTGCAAAATCCCTTCATTTTGTTTATATTTACATTTTACACACCTACTCAAATTTTTTCTTCTTTTGCAATTGGGGTTGTACACCCATCTCAATCTCTGGGATTCCCTAACAGGGTCTGGCTCTGATCAATGGGACACAGATGATTACCTCTCTAGGGGCAGAGGCCGTGGAGCGAGCCCAGGCGATTGCCCAGCAGGCAGATATTATTGCTGCTCTCACCCTGGAGGTGCTAAAGGGAACCACCAAGGCCTTTGACAGTGGTGCGCAGAAGCTATAAACCCGAAGAAAACCAGAAACTAGATGAAATTATTTACCTCCAATTGTATAACTGCACTACATGTCATCCATCCTTATTCAATTCCTGGTCTCCTCCCACAGACATCCATGCACTGCGGCCACATCCGGGGCAAATAGAGGTGGCTCAACGCTTCCGCTCACTGTTGGACTCTGATCACCACCCATCCCAGATTGCAGGTTTGATGAACATCAAACAGTATTCATGTAAAGTTCTGATCATTGCATTTTACGTTTGTGTGCCTTCCTCCTCCCGAAAACTTGTTTGCATATTAGAAATGCTCTTACCACTGGCAGTGGTTTCAGAGTTGCACCACTTCAAGATGAGATGCATGAGTTGCTGGGGGTGCATTTGCCGACAGGCATTAATGGAGTATAGCCTTCTAATATTATGCAGCCTTAAATATGCTGTGTTTAATGAGTGTCATTTTGTTCTGGTGTGTTCTTACAGAGAGCCACAGGTTCTGTGACAGAGTCCAGGATGCCTACACCATGCGGTGCTGTCCTCAGGTAACCCCAAGTTTATTTATAAATCCCCAAATCACAGGTTTCTCCCACAGCGTTTTAAAGCTTCTGCAACTTCTAGATGGGAAAGGGAAAACTTCTCACGTGCTAGATAGTGGGTCTACCACATAGAAAGCAGATATGGAGCTGCAGCAAAACTATGTTTGAGCATCGTACATCTCTTTCTGAGTGTTGTGTCCTCTCTCTGCTCGCAGGTTCATGGAATTGCCAATGACACAATTGCATTTGTCCAGAATATCATCAACACAGAAATCAACAGTGCCACTGACAACCCTGTATCCTTTTCTGTCTTTCAAACTAGAGGAAAAGACTGATCTATGAAATTTAGCCAGTTTGGTCTCAAGTCTGATAACTGAAGTTGGATCTGCCACAAACTGCACACAGGATTTTACTGGAAATCAGTTAATTTTGTCTTAACGGTCTCACCAGATGGTATTTGCAGAAAGAGGTGAGACCATTTCAGGTGGGAATTTCCATGGGGAATACCCAGCTAAGGTATGTAGTAATAAGATAGTTTGTTTCGGTTCGCTTTAGATTTGATTCTTCTTTCTTAAACAACTGTTTTCTTTCTCATAGGCTCTGGATTTTTTAGCCATTGCAGTCCACGAGCTGGCTTCAATCAGCGAAAGGAGGATCGAGAGGTTGTGTAACCCCTCTCTGAGTGAGCTGCCTGCCTTCCTCGTCAACGAGGGTGGACTCAACTCAGGCTTCATGATTGCCCACTGCACTGCAGCCGCCTTAGGTTTGTGTGAAAAACATGAAGTAACATATAATCTCCTACTAAATTATTCCAATTTCAATGAGATTATGATAACATTATTTACTAAACAGGCTTTGATATTGAATATTACACTTCAGAGTGCATTTTTTAATAAAAGATCTAATGTTACAAATTTGTAGGGTTTTTTTTCTTTTCTTTTTACCCAATATTTGAGCAGGAGCACTGACGTTAATCTCAACTCTTTCACGCTGTTCAGTTTCAGAAAACAAAGTTTTGTGTCACCCATCGTCTGTGGACTCTTTGTCTACTAGTGCTGCCACGGAGGACCACGTGTCTATGGGAGGATGGGCTGCTAGGAAGGCCCTGAGGGTAATAGAGCATGTGGAGCAAGGTAAGGTATAGCATTGTTAAATTATGTACACCTCACAAGTACTGGGTTGGCTTAATTCTTTGTGCCACAGATTCATCAAGGAGCTGGAAACATTCCTCATACTATCATGACAGGCGCTGCCGATTTGTCTCCACATCCATCACGTAAATCTCCTGCTCCATCACATCCCAAATGTGCTCTGTTGGATTTAAATCTGGTGACTGTGAAGCAAATTCACTGTCATGTCTAAGAAGCCACTTTGAGATTATCTGAGCTTTGTGTCTATCTTCTGATGTAAGAAGCATTTAAAAGATGAACAATATGTAAGATTTGGTGTTTAAACAATGCTCAGTTGGTATGAAATGGTTCAAAGTGCACCAAAAAACGTTCCCTGCACCACTCCATCACCACAACCCTGAGCTGTTGATAAAAGGCAGGATGGATCCACGGTTTCATGTTGTTTATGCCAAAATCTGACCCTACCAGTCATAAGGATCTAACGTTTGCAGTAGAAATCAAGACTCATCAGACCAGGCAACATTTTTCCAGTTTTATGTGGTCCAAGTTTTTTTTTCCTTGTGAAAACTGTACCCTTAGTTTCCTGTTGTTAGCTGACATAGATGGCACCTGAGTGGTCTTCTGTTAATGTAGGCCATCTGCTTTAAAGTGTGATTTGTTGTGTTTCTAATGAGTAGCAACAGTATTTGAGTTACAGTTTCCTTCGTATCAGCTCAAAGCAGTCTGGTCACTCTACTGTGATCTTTGGCATTAAGAAGGCATTTTCACCCAGAGAACTGCCACTCACTGGATATTTTTTGGAAAATTCTTTCTAAACCCTAGAGATGATTATTTGGGAAAATCCCCAGTAGATTAGCGGTTTCTGAAATACTTGGGACAGTCCATCTGGTGCCAACAACCATGCCATGTTCACTTAAATCATCTTTCTTCCACATTCAGATGCTCAGTTTGAACTTCAGTTGGCTGTCTTGATCATGTCTCATGCCTAAATGCACTGAGTTGCTAACATGTGACTGGGTGATTAGACATTTGTGCTAACGAGCAACTGAGCAGGTGTTCCTAACAACGTGATTCTGTGATTATGTATAATAATCAATAGATTTATGGTGGGGAGTCCTAAAATTCCAATAAAACTCTATACAGACAACAAATAAGTGAGTAAAATGATTAATCTGTTCCATAGTTCTGCTGCATTACCACTATCAGATTTACAAATAACCAACTGTTTTTACTGTAACTCTTTGAAAACAACAAGCGTCCCTGAATCAAAGAGACTAACCGGTCAGTTTCCGCTGCTTCTGTTGCAAAAAGTGCAAAGGTCGCTGCTGAAAACCATGCCAGTGTACACCGACAAGACAAAACCGCAGGTTACTGGGCGGATACAGAGGTTAACCTTAAACCAACAGGTTTTAAAAAACAGATAAATGATTAAACTATCATCAAATATAATTTATCTCTGTGCTTAAAATTCTTTTCTCCGTCTTTTGAAAAAATATTGAGAAAAAAAATCCACAGTTCTTGTAAGTCATGGTATAAACTAAAGGCTCAATCAGCAGTAAAAACCCATAGATGGCTTTCAATTGGCTGTGATCTATGTTATTTAATGTTTTCAATATTTATTACTAAAATGAGAGATATATTTTTGGAATTTGGCCAAACTGAATTGATACTTCCTGTTACCAGTCCTCGCTATAGAGCTGCTGGCCGCATGTCAGGGCATCGAGTTCCTCCGCCCACTCCGTACCACCACTCCACTGGAGAAGGTCTATGAACTTGTTCGCAGCGTGGTCAAGTAAGTCAAACAGATGCGGCCAAGGTACAAAATTTTGAGCCTGTTGAAACTATATACCTAATAGTTAATATTTACCCGTTGTTCCACTTTCTCCTTTTACTCTCCTGCCGTTAAACAGACCGTGGATTAAAGACAGATTCATGTCGCCTGATATCGAAGCGGTTCATCGCCTGCTACTTGATCAAAAGGCAAGTTCTAAAAAGTTGTTCAGTGCACGTGCTCCACGTGGCATGTCGTTAAATGTGCTTATATTTTCAACCCAGGTGTGGAATGTGGCCAAACCTTACATTGAGAAGTACCAGACAGAGTACATCCCCGAGTCCCGCCCCGTCTCTCCCACTGCCTTTTCCCTGGACTCTCCGGCCTCCCCCAGGAAGCGTGTTCGCCACGAATGAAAGCACACGCCAAACAAGTTTTTTTTTTTTTTTTGGCAATTACTTCAGTCACAAAAAAACAAAGATCCTACACAGTGATCTTGGTCAACACCACAGTTAGTCAAAAGTGTGTGGCCATTATCTGAGACCAACTGGAGCAGAATGGGAGAAACGGATCCTTACGCGTCACTGTGACACTTCACTGATAAGAGCGGTGTGCAGGCTCTTTCTTTCTTGCATCTGAGTTTGTTGGATTTGTGAATTTTCTATTCCCATTAAAGAATTGTTAGAAAGTCACCCAAACCTCAGGAGATGTGATTTCAGGATGCTGTATTCTTATGTCCCTTGAAGACTAAATGTACACACTGACTTCTCTCACGAGCTTATGAACTGGCTATTCTACATACAGAATATTATGCAAGCAACTACTGACCCTGTGCACGAGAAAATGCTAACTTCCTGGTTTGAGACCGGATGTAGGGTTGTACATTTCCGGTAGCTTTACTTTGCGGTCAATCGCTACTGCGAAGATATACAAAATCATGTCCAAAACTCGAAAACGGAAAGATCGCATTAAGTTACAAAGAGCAGAAGGTGGGAACACTCACCGCTGTTGTGTCATAAAAAATCGAATGATCAATTTTGACGTTTAAAGAGTTTAGATCGATCAGTTGTTTACATCACTCAACACAAGCAGAACTGCATTACTGCAGAAGACACATCGTCCACATTCAGAAGCACATCTCTGTATAGTGACTGGTCTTATGATTTAAACAGGCAAATGTTCAGCATTCAAACTACAGGTGAAGAATCGGTAAACCAGATGTTTCCCCCGTTATGTCGAGATCAGCTAGTCAAGTACACACCTACACAGCATGTTAACAAACCGTGAAAAAACTGAATGATTGCTGGTAAAGGTTTCTACACATTAGCATTTACGAAGGGTATGTTGTGATTTACCTTCAAAATTACAGCGGTCCCTCACTATAACACGGTTCACCTTCTACCTCACTGTTTCGCAGATTTTTTAGTGCAAGTTTTCATGCTTTTTTACATCACAATGTGTCCTGCGTCCTGATCGCTGCAGACGATCTCCTCCGTGACGTCTCTCCTGTACAGTACAGAATCGCTGCATCGATCACTAGCAGTGTGACTCTGAAGTGCAGTGGATGTCGACGAAACGTTTTGCACTGTCAAAAAATAAAATTGGCTACTTGATTTCACCTATCGCTGGTTATTTTTTAGAACATAACACCCGCGATAAACGAGGGACAGCTGAGAAATATAACATTTGAATCCCTTTTCTCTTTTGCTCTGAGGCACAGGGAAAAATTATCGACAAGTTGATGAACATCATTTACTGATATATTGGGTAAATGCCCAATACATCTATAGAAATGTAAATCGCCGCTTGATTCATTCATTTGCTTAACTTGTTTTGGACCGTAAACAGGTCGTGAATAGGACACCGGAAACAAAGCTCCCCACAGGAGTTTCCGCACCGGAAGTAGCATATGCTAACGTGCACATAGTCAATTGGGTTTAACTTGTGTATACTGCACCTTACCCTGATGTACATTCCACTTGTTTATATCTAAACTTTTTTGTCCCTTTTTAAACGTGCCTAATTGACTCTTTATTGTCACATGATTTCTTCTTGTACAATTTTCAAGTCATAATTATCTTAGCACAACCTGTGATTTTGCTGATGTATTTTAAATCCTATTTAATTGTCATTAATATATTTCCAGCTTAACATAATTAAAGTTTTTAAGCGTTCCTATTCTCATCCATTTAGGTCATGTTGTGTGAATAATGTTCCTTATACTATTATCAGGGACAGAGAGGCAAATTTGTAGAAATATATCTCAAAAATCAATCAAACCTGACCGTTTTCAGTGAAGTAACACAAAATTAGTAAATGTGCCAGTGATTTCCAGCCTCTCATCAGCATACCCTGAGAATAACATGGTAATTAGTTTGGAGGTGGCGCTACATTTGTCCTGTCTTTGTGTGTGTTGAACTTCAGCAAAGTTAGGTTGGCAGAAGCTTCCTTACCCAGTTAAACAGCACCTACCCGGCTGGACAGCTGCTCCACCACCTTGAGGTGCCAAAAGGAAGAGCCTGTGGAAAATAAAGCAGAAGGTCTGCAGTCAATAAACTCAAAGGTTGCACAAACAGCTCAGGACAAGATAGCAGCACAGGAGCAGAAATCTAACATGCACAGAGGCGGTTCAACGTTAGAAAAAATGCTATAGCTCTACAATTATAGATTCAGTTTAACATATATGCACTCATTCCATTCCTTACTTTACCAGCCAGAGTGAGGCAGAGCTGGGGCACATTTCAGTAAGAGGTGGGGTATGCCTTATCACAGGGGTGAGACAGATTAGCAGGACAAGAACTGAAAGAAGCTTACAGAATAATAGCATACTAACATTAATTGCATGGACGATTACAAAGGCATTCTCAGCAATCTCACCTTGCAGTTTTAAAGCATTAATGCTTTATTGCTTTTCCAGTGCGCCACCTCTCCACCAAGGTTCATTAAATTTGGCTTAGGAGTTTCACAGTAATCTTGCTGAACAACTGAACTGATCGCATTCCTCTGTCAATGAAAGATGAATGAGCACACGTTTAAATTAAACAGTACAAAAACGACTGACCATATGTCAAAACATTTACTGAGAAGTAAAAAAAAAAAAAATCATGTCTCCTTCGAGCCGGATTCGAACCAGCGACCTAAGGATTTCAGCTTTCGCCTCTACAGTCCTCCGCTCTACCAACTGAGCTATCGAAGGGACGGTGTCCATCTTTCTCATTCCACAGTATTTAATAAAATATACCATTCCCGGAATATATCATAGATTTCAAAAATGTATGAAATTTCATTCTCACAGCTGAGGTACAATCATTGATAAAAACGCGAACACACAACGACTGGTTTTAGATAAATAGCTAGCTAGCACACTGCTTCCATTCAAAGTCTCTCGCAAAAAACTGAACTG